CCCCCCCCCAGGAGGCGGAGTGGCGTTCCCGGGCGCAGCAGTTCGACGGCATGTGCGAGGGCGTGGTCCAGATGTTCAACCGGCTCTCCAACATCCCCAACCGCCGCGTGCTCTACGACCTGTACGACTACATCTGCGACATCAAGAGCGGCGTGGGCCTGGCCCGCGCACACGTGAAGGCGCTGGGTGAGGGAAAGACTCTTATGTAACTCTTCCCTACCTAGGTAGGCTCTGGTATCTAATAACTAATAAATCTTTCTAATATCAGGCCCGCTTATCTATTCTTAAGGGTCGTACTGGAGGACTGCGGTAGTGATCATATTTACTGTATTAAGTTGCCTCTACCCACAATGACACACGCACACACCAATCAAATTGTATCAAAATATTATGTATTACCGGTATAGGAAAAAAGTCATGTTAATGCATATCACTCCATATCAGTATGTATAAAAAAAAGAAAAGTTATGTCATGCAAAACCAACTGAAATCTTGCGTATCAGAAATGTATAAAAAGAAACATCAATACAGATTATATAAATTCACTCTTAACAAGTGCAGCAACAATATGAAAGACCAATGCAGACTTTAAAAAATCTGCAGGCAGTATAACATGTAATATAACTTCAGACCATTAAAAAAAAAAACCCATGTTGGATCCAACAATCAAAGAAGGGGAAAAAATGTCCAAGGCCTTTAAATTGAGATCTCAATAAAAAAAATGTATGTGGGAGGGAAAAAGTTTAGTCCCGAAAATCAAAGATGCGTTCACGTCTGAGCCCGCCGTTTGGTTCCTCCACAGGCGGGAAGCAAACCTGGACAAAACTGGATCAACATCTGGACCATTTTTCATCCAGTCTTTTACTGTGGAGGCTGCCTCTCTCTTTTCCTCCCTCCCCTTCTCCTCCCTCTCTCTCTCTTGACCTCTTGACCTCTCTCGCTCTCTCTCTCTCTCTCGCCCTCTCTCTCGACCTCTCTCTCTTGCCCTCTCCCTCTCTGTTCCTCCTCCAGGTTTTTTCCTCCTAAAGGCAGTTGTTTCCTCCCTGTGTCTCCTAGTGCTGCTCTTGGTGGAACTGTTGTTCTTCTGGAAATAACTCAGTCTGAGCTGCTCTGTTTAAAGTTGGTCGTTGGTCTCCGTTCCTCCACAGGCGGGCAGAGCCAGCCCTCGGCGCAAATAATGGAGGACGACCCCGAGCCCTGGGGCTTCAGGGGGGGCCTCTCCGGAGAGTTCCAGGTAGGGTTGTCAAAAGTATCAATGCTCAAAAAAGTATTGATACTAAAATGTTGTATCCGGATACGATACTCATTTTCAAAAGTATCGATACCAATTTACGTTGTTTATGATCATTACCATGACGTTAGCCTTTAACTGCTAGCTGCGGCTAATGGCTAATAATAACATGTTACCATTAATCAAGTACATATCCAACACCCCTGCATCCAAGTCGGCCATTTTGATTAGGTCACCAATAGGAAGATCCCAGGCAAGAAAATCGTAATTGCTTCACGGCAATATAGACATTAATTTGAAAATAGTGAATGTTAAATAGGTTTGTACAATAAGTCCAAACAAGTTTTACCAAAAAAGATTTATTTCTCACAATTATGAAGGGTTAGAGTTAAGGTTAGGGTTAGGGTCAGGTTCAGGGTTAGGGTCAGGGTTAGGTTTAGGGTTAGAGTCATTAATGCGGGCCACCAGCCACGATAACATCAGTAACAGGTTAGTTTGAAATGAAAGACACTAACCTGTTAAAATTCAGTAAAACTTTGGGGTATTTGTTTTTATCCGTGTGGTATCGAGTATTTTCCTGAGTATCGGTATCGAGTTAAAAATTTTAGTATCGTGACAACCCTAGTTCCAGGTATCCGGATGACGGATAGCTGTTGCTAAGTCACAAGTCCCGTATTCAGGAATTTATAGGACTGTTTATTTTTGTTGTGTTGTACATTATTCTGCATGTTTTTGCTCTCAGAGGATGCTGCCGGGACACGGGAACCGGGACCTGTTCAGACGGCCGCCCATGACGGCGGTTTACTGCATCCGGCCTCACGCCGCCGGGGACGAGGTGAGGAGCCTCGGATGGATATCCAACTCCTCCCACATCCAAGTCGGCCATTTTGATTAGGTCATGTCACTAGCCGCTTTCTGAGGTGGAAACGAAACTTTACTGTCCATACGAAATCGGAAGATAAACGATGTCCTAACCCTGACCCTAACCCTGACCCTAAACCTAACCCTAATCCTAACCCTGACTCTAAACCTAACCCTAAAACTAACCCTGACCCTAACCCTGACCCTAAACCTGACCCTAAAACTAACCCTAACCCTCCACCCTTCATAATAGTGAAAATATTTTTTTTGTAAAATTAGTTTGGTCTTATCGTACAAACCTATTTAACATCCACTATTTTAACATAATATTATGTATAGAGTTTAATTCAGAGTTTGCAAGATTAATTTCACTATTTTTAAATGAATGTCTATATTGCCATGAAGCAATTAGGATTTTCTTGCCTGGGATCTTCTTATTGGTGACATAATCAAAATGGCCGACTTGGATATACATCCTCTGAATCCCGTCTCCTCTCAGGTGGAGGTTCGGCGGATCTGGGAGCAGATGCGGAGCGGCGAGGAGGGCGGGGCGGTCCCTCTGATGGGCGACGGGTAAGGAGTCGGTCGCCGTGGCGATGGCAGGTCATATGGCAGGTCAAAAGTCACTGTGTGGCTGATCTCCCATGATGCACCAGGGGGAGTAACCACAAACTCTTGAACCAAATGGACTAATTTTAACCGTGGACACAATGATGATAATGATAAAGATGATGAGTGAAGGCGCCATATGCCCATTTATGTATATTTCTGTATATTTATGTGTTTTTTTTTATGTACTTGTTTGTGTGTATTTGATATGTCATTTAAATTAATGAGTGACATTAATAATTTAAGTAAAAAATATTTACAAGTTAAAAACGTGAATTTAAAATATTTACGTTACTAAATGCGCCTTTAATGACGTGGTAATTATGCGCCAGGTTCCCAGTAAGGTTTGCCTATTGTAAAATTAACACAAAGGCAGGAGGAAGGTTGGTGCCTCATGGTTTTCTGACCGTGCCATGCACGTGACGTGCTCGTTTTGTAACTTTAGATTTAGATTCGTGAAAGTTTAGGAAGTATATATGGATCCTGGAACACGCATCAGACAGCCACAAAGCTCCAACCTATAACGGATTTTTACTAAGACTTTCGAAAATACCCTACAATGAGGATGATGATGGTTATGAGTGTGAACCCTGTCCCCCCCCCCCCCCTTTACCCTGGGGGGGGGGCCTTCCCCCCCCCCCCCCACAGTGCGCCCTGGTGCTGGAGGACGACGCCGGGATGTGCGGCTACGCGCTGGCGCTAACGGACGCCACGCCCGCCGCCGCCCAGGTCCAGGTGGGGGGAAATAATAATAATCATTTTTAAGTTATTTTAATCAGGACAGTGCACATTAATGAACAATCTCATACAGATTGTAAATGAACCAGATTCTAGCATAGTTGCTAAATCGCAGGAAGACAAAACAACACAAAATCACATAATACAATATCAGTTAAAACAGATAGAAACACGTTCAGACAATGATATTACAAAAATAAAATTAGTGAGTGCATGACTGGGAACTTTTGAGAAACAGTTTAAGGTGCTTTTTAAATGTGTAAATAGTGGGACATTCCCTGATGTTTGTTGGGAGAAGTGACCCCCTCTGACTGATAGAACGGTTTGTCCAAAGGTTGTTCTCCTGTGGGGGATCTCTAGGTCTAGTTGGGTGCCTTTTTGAAATGGGTCCTCCCGTTATATCGACGATGTTATAGTTTTAATATATATATATGTGTATATATATATATATATATATA